CGGAATTAGGGTTGTATCGAATGTACCCAGATGAACCCCTTGACATAGGTCAAAATACCACTTTCTAGTCTTTTAACTTGGGGAAATGTTCGGTGCACTTTCTACCAGCTTCAGTGTATGATGCGCTTGAACATTTTTTAAACTCTTTGTCCCATTTCCCCCCTGGCTTTTTATCCTACTGCCCAGGATCTGCTCTTGTTAGTGTTTTTTAGACATTGGTTTGTTTGTTTGTTTGTTTGTTGTTTAACGCCGCACTCAGCAATATTACAGCTATATGACGGCGGTCTGTAAATAATCGAGTCTGGACCAGACAATCCAGTGATTGATATCATGAGCATCGATCCGCGCAATTGGGATCGATGACATGTATCAACCAAGTCAGCGAGCCTGACCACCCGATCCCGTTAGTTGCCTTTTACGACAAGCATAGTCGCCTTTTACGGCAAGCATGGGTTGCTGAAGACATATTCTACCCCGGAATCTTCACGGGTCTAGACATTGGTCCTTAGGTATATGGGTTACTGACAGACAGTTAAAATTACCCGAAAGGTTGTGATTTTCTGGCTATAAAAGGCATTATTTCGGTGGTTTTGATTTACTTGATAATAACTGATACTCTCGAATGCACATGTCCAAGAGCTTTCCATATATCTGTAACACATGATGTGGTTTCAAAAAGGGATCACCTGACCAGCCCCTATTGCATTATTGTCGGAAATTACGTTTGAACCCGGAGTGGACGTGCAGAGGATATAACTGTTCTATTAGAGTGAGTGAATATCTTATTGTATTTAATCATATGTCTTGAGTACATGCAACAATAACATGCATATCATGGAACGTCGGCGTTGGGTGGCACTGTGGTTAACGTGTTTGCTCGGTAGGCCGAAGACCCTGGTTCGATTCCTCACATGGGTAGAATGTATGAAGACCATTCTGTTGATATGGCTGGAATATTTGACTTTAAAACGGCGTAACATACCCTATACCCACACACTAATATCACATCAACGGAAATAAGTAGTTCTATTATAGTTTATTAAAACCGTTATTCGTTAGAGTGGTAAGTGGGTTTGAATAGTACAGAAATTATGTTCGAATTCTACTGTGGCTTGTCGGCTTGATGTGGGACAGGACGTTGATGTTTGCCAGATCCTCCAGTCAGAGAATGGTTAGTAAAAAGTAATTATTACGACGTTTATTTCGACGAGAAGTTATATTTGTAAATATTTTGGGTGCATAAAAAATCCATGCTTTCTTTGCGACTACCATTTGAGTGAGTGGGTGAGTGTTTGTTCTTTAACGACGCATTCAGCAATATTCCAGCTATATGAGTTTTTTGCTTTTTTGGTATCAACACACCAGCATTGTACCCATGTCCTAAGCCTACGGCGTAGTAAGAAGACACTTTAAACACTCGGCTACCCTACCGTCTCACCAAGTCAATGACATAAATCACCATATAGTGATCGTGACAAAACAATTCTCTATTCCACCTAGAAACTATTTACATTGTGCTACTAAAACAAGTAAAAAAACAGTAAAATATCCGGCTCATAGTTTTGAATAGATGAATAGAAATGCAAGTGATCAAAATAACACAAGAGTTCTTGATTTCAGTCAGAGAGTTATCCAAAAGAAACTGACGCTAAAGCAAATAAACGAATGGTAATGCAATAATATTAGGAGAAATATTAATGTTCTTGCTAATATGAGATGAAGCACAATCATTTATAATAATGTCTTAAATCCCCCGGCGTTTATCCTCAATATTTTGCAGATTGTGTTACCATGGATACCATTGACCAAGATCTGTGAGACGGTACATGAACAGTATGTCATACGCTGATTGGGAAGTCAATATATATATGTACACACACAGATTTGTTCTAGGGACGTTGATTTGGATCATACAGTGTACTTGTGTGTGTGTGTATATATATACATTTATACACACACACACACATATATATATATATATATATATATATATATATATATATATATATATATATATATATATATATATATATATATATATATATATATACACACACACACATTTTTATATATATATATATGTTGTTTTTATTCTCGGTTTGATAGTCAGAATAACAAATATAATGTGCGGTTAATTTGGATGTCAATATATCCTATATAACATGCCTGTATGGAAGTCAAGATATAGTGTTTCTTCTCCAGAGGAGTTTAACAAAACACGGAAAACGGATTGCTGTTGCAATGCGCGGTGTACTGATATACACCGACGTCTGTAATCATAATGTATAACGATATAGAATCTGAACAGCTAATGATATATCGATTTCTTGTTTCTTTATCCCAAGGCGACACGACAGTGATTTCATGGTACAAAACGTAAAGGCAATACCAACCCACACGCTTTCAATTATAAAATACTCCATATATAATATCTTTAATGGCCCGGGGAAAAGAAATTATACACCCACGTTTCATAGCGTCTAAAAATGAAACAAACAAGAAATGGATATTCATTGGTGATGTATTTGAGATGGGTATCATAGTTGTGTTTTTGACCTTAAGGCGTCGTTTTTCAGCGACTGGTTTCAGCCTGGTAACATTTTGATAAACTTTGTAAAGTTTGGATCAAACAAAATGTTCAAGAGAATACTTTCGTTTGCCCGGCAGTTTACAAACCACTTACACTTTCGTTTCATAATGAATTATAATCCAAATCAGTCATAGCTGATGATGTACGGTACTGTTCACAAAAAATGCATGTTAATAATACACACAAGAGTTACATGTTAGCTTATGATAGTCAATTACAAGACCATTTGTGCAATGATATAGTGACTCACGCTAACCAACACTGAGAGGGGCAGCTTAAGCTATTTGACAATAAATTCATTCTCGCCAAAGGCACTGGTCGATAAGGTTTCGCCTCAAAGTGACCTCTTCACACAAGCACAATCGTAGGTTTATTGGGTACAGTCAGTGCTCTCCGTGATATGGTAATGCCTGGCCTGTCACATAGAGGTCCAGGGAGACACCATCCCACAGTTCCGTCTCGTATATTTATCATGGACCAACAGGCAATCCGCCGAATGAGATAGGGACGAAGCGGTGGTCGAGCGTGAGATATAATAGTCCCACATGTGCAAGAAATCTATTGAGTATTTTGTCACCGGTACTATTGATTCTTTCAGCAAAGTTGCCCCTTAAGTAAGGACAGAAATGACCGATGGGTTCATAAAGGGACTATATGCGTTTCACTTACTTCCGCCATGGGGCTCGTCTGCTTCTGAGAAGCCTGGACATGGTCTTGAATTATCCCTATAATGGTATAAATGCTAATACTGGGGTGATCCGGCACAATCACGGTAATTCATTGTATATCAGATGCCAAGATATGCAAATCCTGTATGTAAATCAAAACGATTTCCGGGGGTAACCTTGTAATGATTTGTCCAGGAAAATCTCCGGGGCCAAATATTGTTTTCCAGTACTTTCAGTATCAAGTGGCCGGTCTCTGACCCCTGACAACATCAATGTGTGTTCTGTTTGTATTCTCAGCTGGCAACCCATGCTGCCTTTTCTGGCGTCAGAAGGTTTGCATTCACACTGACATCTCATACTACCAGATAACCATTCATTCCTCCTTGGAAGTCACTGGCCAAAGTGTGGGCCAGGGATAAGGTTACCATAGAAACTCTCAGGCGTCGAGCTGGATAAACGTATCTGTAATGTGGGTGTACTGCATGCAAGCTGTATCGTACTGACCGCCTCCATGGTCTAGTGGTAGAGCGTCCGCCCGGAGAGCGGAAGGTCCGGGGTTCGATCCCGACCGCGTCGTACCAAAAGACGTTAAGGAAGGTACTTGTTGTTACCCTGTCTTCCGCTCGTCATTAAGGGGCTAAAAGAAGGACTGGTCGGCTCGGAGTCAGTATACTGTGTCTGAGTCGGGTATTCATGGTAAACTACGGCATGGTATCTCAGTGGGCTAGTACTATAAATCGGCATCAGTCCGGACTAGTACAACCAGCCACACACACACACGTGCATGCGACGTTAAGCCCCATTTCACCTCACCTGTAGCGTATTCGTTGCTATATTACGATACGCATGACCAAGCAGACTGGTGTGAGTGAATGAACAGTGAGCGCATTAGTAAAAAATCAGTTATTCGCAGTAAAACTATACAGGGAAACAAGTTGTGGCCCTGTGACATTTACCTGTATCAATTTGGTCACCGGAACCTCAATGTTAAGAAAAGGTCTTAAGCGATCCTTTAGAAGCACGATCATCAGCACAAGGAGTGTTTTAGTTTTAACGCTTATTACATACATGTACACTCCCACGAAAAATATAGAAGATGGGAGAGATGTGTTTGTGTTGTTATTCGTTTGTCTTGTGGATAACTTGGTGAGATCATTCTTGAAACAAAAGGTTGGGTGAATTAATTTCCCGTTCCAAACAGCTGTCGTAAAACGAATGTATCAACACAGTCAGTATTCAAATGAATTTGTTGAAAAATTTCAAATAAAACCACAAAGCGTACAAATATTTATATCTTTGAATGAAGACAGGAAAAAATTTAAGTGGATGATAATTTCAACAATCTGTCGAAGATGAAGATGGAGATAATAGTCCATATCTGTTCCTACGTTTTTTGAAAAATTAAAGTAAGTTTGTGCAATGATACATACTGCCATTGTTTGGACCAAAGACACTATTTTAATACGTTACATAATAAAACAAAATCCGAGTTCGAGATATGACTTAATATATATGAAATATTATGTTTACATATTTGACATTAATAACAATCATCACATGGTTGAAAACAGTGGCAATTTGTGTATGATTTCTATATAACAACTAGTACATAACCCGGACCTTCACGTGGTGACAATAATTGTATTGTCTCAATAGAAACATCCAGTATATGCACGAAGGACATGTTATGCCACATATATAATGATATAATTTGAAACTCTATATTTCTGCTTTTATTGCAGGCTTACCACCGGAGTTGTACGCCATATGGGAGTCGTATCCATGGCGATTTGGGGAGGCCTTCTGTATTCTACGTCACTCTGTGATGGAGATGACGTCATATGCGTCGGTTCTGACAATCACAGCCTTCACCGTGGAGCGTTACGTGGCCATATGTCGTCCTCTTCAGGCACACCGCATGGCGGGTCTGTCCCGGTGTCTCCGGACCATCATCTCCATCTGGGTCGTCTCCATCCTCGTGGCCCTCCCCTTCTCCATCCACACCCGCGTGTTTCACGAGCTGCATCACCCCCTCACCCACGAACCTATCCCAGAATCCCTCATCTGCAACATCCGGACGGAATGGCGGGGACGGATGACGTACATGTTCCAGATCTCCACCTTCTTGTTCTTCGTCACCCCCGTCGCCGTCATCATCTGCCTTTACATCCTCATCGGCATCGCTCTCAGGAAGTCACAATTGGGGCGACGACCGTCGGAAGAGTCTAAATACGGCACTGGCAAACTTCGACCTCCAACCCAGCCCAAACGAGTAGTAATTCGTATGTTAGGTAGGTAACAAGTGTATTTTGATTGAGTGAGCGTGTTAGTGAATGTTGTGTGTTTAAAGCAGCTTTGAACAATATTTCAGCGACATCAAATCACGTTGCTTAGATTCTCTGGGAGGAAAGCCCGAAGTGATACACGCCCTAGACGTTTACCACCTTGGTGAAATCCATGAGCATGGGTAAAATGAGATTCGGACCCAAAATCATAGGGTCCTGGAGCGTCAAAGGGACACAATTCCTCACAGTGATTCGAACGATGTTGCAATTACCAACCCTATCCCCTAATATGATGAATAAACAGGACGGGCTACAGAAATATATACACGGTTTTATGTACAGAATATATTTACACATATAATCATATTGCAACCAATGAGATGTAAGAAATTAATTATTCAACTGACTAAATATCTGAACCCATGAGCCGTATGCCTGGTTTCTTTGATTGATGTGTCAGTTTGTCCTGCCATCCTGTGCGTGTTGAACGCTATGACCACGGCGTCATTGTGTCTTAGTTCCCCCGCAGTGATGTTGCAGCCCATCTAACGTCTCTACTCCCACTAATGATGTGCTTGCTCAGCCCGGAATGCTTTCTGAAGGCAATTACAAACCGTAAATTTCACGTCAAGACGGAATAAAGAAATAATTTGTTAAGGCAGGGGATCAGAGGAACATGAAGGCTAATACCAAGTGTAACTTGTGACTTGTTAGTGACGACGTATCATTACCGTATTTTCCCTCATACCATGCGCTTCCTGTCACCTCTTTGTACTAGTTTGATGAAGCAGGGATTTCGGATGAAGCAATATTGTCCTACTGTTCAAAATGGACACTGTTAGACATTTCAAATACAAACAATAATCTCAACGGAACGTAGAAATAAACGTCATCGTTGTTTCAAAGGCTGGTAAGGTCTTGTTTTGTATACCCACTTCTGAATCCACAGCTGGTTCTAAAGAAATATGAAACTGCAAAATTTGAAATAAGAATAAAATTTCGAATTGACTTCAGATGTTATTCTTATGGGATTATCTACATTAAATGTAAAAAATAAATTGTGTGACCGGAACTTCTAGGCTATTGTTTGATCACGTGAACTAGTACCAGTAGTCACAATTAACATTACGTCGGTGTCTATACTTTTGAGGAACAATCGAGCATCCCCTTTCAAAGAAGATTTTAAAGCGTGCACATGACTCTTTCACATAAGTTATTTGATCATGCCTTTTCGTGTGTTTGTGCCAGCGGTGGGGCAAGATACCCTTACCTCCTTGTGAACCCTGATATCATAACTATTTGAGAGTGATTCATATACACGTACTTATGATTTTGGTCTGAGTCGTATAATCAAGTCCGCTATGAGATTTCTATTGAACATGGAAAGGGTGTTTCGCTTGTATTTACCTTTGTCCATCTCTCTTGCAATGAGACATGTTTTCCTTGAGTTGCGTTGTTTATCAATTATTTACGGAACGTTATCAAGCGTACCAAAAGCCTTGAAAACCTAAACCTAACAACGGAATTCCATTTTCTGCAATCGACATCTGTGTATAAGTATCCGTAAGGACTGATGTATACTGATGTTGATTCTAAAAAAATGCCTGCATTGTTGTGTGGGTCGGAGCTGTGGGGCTTTGGAGAAACCAAATAATTAGCAAATAGTCAAAGGTACGCCTGTAAAAGATCTCTTAAGGTAAAGATGTCGGCTTCAAGAAAAAGTGCCCTGTGTTCAGATTGTTGCAGCCATTCGCTGTGTGAAATATTGGTGAGATTTATGTCTGAAACTAAAGAAATGCTACAACATGTTACGTTTGTATGATTAACAAGGTCGTGTAAGTTAAGAAACTATTAATTTAAGTTAAGTTTTGGCGATGTATGGATTTCGCAAGGTTGAACAGTTCAATTAAAGGTTGTACAATTTATTAAATCAAGGTTGTACAATTTATTAAATCAAGGAAACAGAAAATTGCTCTTTCCCGCTGTCGGCTGATCAGTCACAATCCGTCACAATTTAGAAACTGAGCGATTTAATATTCTGCGGAATGTAGAAAATGTAAGGTATGTTACTCTGCTTTATATTGAAAATGAATAACACTTCTGCTTATACGAGGTTTTGCAACTTGGGCATTTGTGTTTACAGAAACAATGTCAACTTGTGGCAGGTGTGACACTAGTCATAACATCAGGTTGACACGTGTCATAACAAGTTCCAGACACAACAATAAGTTAGATGTGATGGCTTCATTGACCTAAGGGGGGTCACAATCATGGATTCTCTCAAACATGAGACCGCCTCCATGGTCTTGTGGTAGAGCGTCCGCCCGGAGAGCGGAAGGTCCGGGGTTCGATCCCCGGCCGCGTCATACAAAAAGCCGTTAAAAGATTGTACTTGTTGTTACCCTGTCTGGCGCTCGGCATTAAGGGGCTAAAACAAGGACTGGTCGATTCGGAGTCTGTATACTGTGTATTCATGTTAAACTGCGGCATGGTATCTCAGTGGGCTAGCACTATAAATCGGCATTAGTCTGGACTAGTACAAGCAGCTACACACACACATACACGTGCATGCACGTCGCTATGTAAGTGCAATAATCTTGGACGCGACGTTAAACCCAATTTCACCTCACCTCAAACATGAAAACGCGCTGTAATAAAGCTCCTTACCTAAGAGGGATGCAAAGCAAAAGAAATCCATGATCGCATGTGTAAAGTGATGGGTAAGAATGCTCCTGAATATTCCACAGTTTGCCGTTGGTCTCTACAGTTTAAAAGGGGTAGGGAATCCTTAGACGATGACCCAAGGTCAGGCAGGCCTTCAGATGCCACCCAATCGGAAACCATTGCTGCTATAGAAAGAAGAATTTTGTCTGACCGACGAGTGAAAGTATCTGAACTTTCTAGGCAATTCCAAATATCAGTTATTCATGAGCCTCTTGGTATGTCCAAGGTATTTACAAGATGGGTTCCTAGAAACCCCAGAGCTCAAGATCGCCATCAGAGAACTGAAAGTTGTCGAGACCTCCTGGAACTCTATACTGCTGATGAAGCCGGATTTCTATCTCGTCTGGGACCCAGAAACTAAATTGGAATCCATGCAATTGAAGCACCCCAATTCTCCGCCTCCGAGGAAGTTTCGCACTCAACCATGGGCTGGCAAGGTGATGGCCACCATATTTTGGGATGCAAGAGGCATATTAATGATTGATTACATGCCACCAAAAACTACAATCAACGGACAGTATTATGCTAATGTAAGGAAAGAATTGCAAAAATCTATTCGCCAGAAACGCCGTGAGATGTTAACACGTGGTATTCTACTTTTGCATGACAACGCTCCGGTTCACAAGTCGAGAATTGCACAGGTCGCCATATGTGAATGTGGATTCCAACAGTTAAATCACCCACCCTACAAGCCCAGACTTCACCCCCAGTGACTATTTCCTGTTCCGGCAAATGACATCTGCCCTATGTGGAAGACGCTTCCAGGATGACGAAGACATAAAGGCTGCCACAGAGGCATGGTCAGAGGGCCAATCTGCGGATTTCGGTAAAAGGGGTATTAAAGGCTTGAAGGACAAATGGAATAAGTGTATTGAGGTGAATGGAGATTATATTGAAAAATAAAAGTGCAAAAGATATTCTGCGACTTGGTCTTATAATTGAAGTTGCAAAACCTATTGAACGCCCCTCGTATTTCCAGCCTATACTCGCCTAAGACAAATGCATCTCAAATCAAAATATCTATATCTAAATATAAAGAGGTTTGGCTTACTGCTATGATCTCCAAGTCCAAATATAATTAGTAACTCATTTCTGTAAAATGTAAATGTGGAAAGACCCTATGTCCTTAGTTTATAAAGGAATCTGAAATACAATTAAAAATATGTACCATATGTGCACACTCATTTGTACATTGCCATTTGTATGTTTATATAGGCCTGCTGCCTACACGTACTGAAATAAAACGATGACGTTGATGACTGATCTTGTACACCCATTAACTCTCAAAACAAACCGTAATGTTAGTCTCGTTTTAGAATTAAGCAGCGTTTTTAATTGGCATTCGATAACTACCTTTAAAAATTGTTTACACATGGACTAGACATGCATCTTTCCTTATTAAAAAACTATAATTGCTTGTTTACCCAAAAGGGACAAAAACGCATATTCAAAATGAAAATAGAAACGGGAGGCCCGTTACAGAATCGTTCAGCGTAACTCTTTGCCCATTTGTAAAGACAAGGATCCAAACAGCTTCTCCCCAGGAATAGCTCGAATAAACACCCAGGAGATCGGACAATAAACACAGCTATGACGTAAAGGTGTGGAGCAAGCACTAACTACATGGGGATGTGTTGATGGCCCGGTAAGAGCGACGAGTAGAGTTGGGCTAGTGCTGTCTTGTCCGGGGATGATTACAGTGTTGACGATGATGAAGGGGTTCAGACAGTGCTTATGACACTCGTAAACACTTGGAGGAAAGCACTCACTTGGACTGGTGGACAGAAGATGTTTTGATGTGGCTCCTCACACGAGGTCTTCCTCATCAAGAATACTGTCTGGATATAATTGTAGATGTATGATGTAGATGATTGTAGTTGAATCTGATGGCTTGTTTACCATAAGATTTGTTGTTTAGAGAGTTTGTATATAGAGAGTTTGTTTATATATATATATACATATATACAGACTCTCTATATGTATATACAAACTGAGTGTGTGTGTGTGTGTGCCTGTGCGTGTGTGTGTGTGTGTGTGTGTGTGTGTGTGTGTGTGTGTGTGTGTGTGTGTGTGTGTGTGTGTGTGTGTGTGTGTGTGTGTGTGTGTATTCGGGTGATATTACGTGTATAATTGAGTCGGTGTCCTTTTAAATGATACTGGTGTCGTTTACAGTGAAATGATACTGTTGTCGCTGACAGTGAAATGATACAGGTGTTTGACAATGATATAGTCATCAATGAAAGAAGTCTAAATTTTCCCAAGGCCTGAATCTCCCATTTCATTTTGTCTCCTTTTCAGTTTAAATGCAGTTGTTTATTTCTGTCAAAATTTTATATTTTCAGAGATTACGCGTTAGTCTAGCTTACAACCTGAATAGTACGCAAATAAGTATCTGACTGTGTCGTTTTAAACAGTATATATACTCTTCAAAAAAAGAAACTTGACATAGATGTAAAACCACTTTTTGCCAAATATCTAAAATAATTACATTAAATGAGAACCAAATAAGTCAAACAGAAAGATGATGTGTCTATAATTCGCGAAAACACATGCAAAGCACATAAACGTAGCGTTTTGGGATCAAATTTACAGCTTCATCTAAGCGCAACCGCCTGTAAAAAACGTGCAGCACATGATCCTGCATTTAGGCATGCAGGCCCCCCTGCTGAATGAGTTAAAAATCCACATCAACGGCTGTTAAAACGTTCATACATTCCTTATAACGGCAGTAGAGGCGGTGACAGAATGCCAAGACTGAATTAATGCAGCTCAACGGAACAACGCCATTGTGAGATTACAAGCTGGAGCAACTCAGCAAGAAGTGGCCAGGCACTTTGGCGTATCCAGACAGACAATCTCCTCACTGTGGACCCGATACAACAACACCAACAGAGTTGACGACAGACCAAGGTCAGGTATTGAAGACCAAGGGTGACAACCCAAGCACAAGATCGATACATCCGACTGCGAGACCTCCGAGACCGCACTACCACAGCCACGTCTACAACCACAAAAGATCCCTGGGGTACGCAGAATATCAGATCAAACGGTACGCAACAGACTAAGGGAGGCTGGACTTTTTGAACGATGACCTGTTCGACGTCATGTATTGACCCCACGTCATCTGGCGGACCGTCTGCTTTGGTGCCAACAGAGGGTTAGATGGGCACGTGCAAGGTTGAGAAATGTACTGTTTACTGACGAGTCCCGTTTCCTACTCACACGTGCTGATGGGCGCGCACGTGTCTACAGACGTCGGGGTGAACGTTACGCCCCCAACTGTGTGCAGCAGGTTGTCCCATTTGGCGGCTGGAGTGTCATGGTATGGACCGGAATTCATCACGGTGGTAGGACGCCTCTCGTGCATGTGGCAGGTTCATTGACAGGTGTGCGTTACAGAGACTTGATCCTACAGCCTTACGTTCTTCCTCAAGTCAACGTTCATGGCGGACAGTTCCAGCAGGACAACGCTCGACCGCATATTGCACGTATTTGTCAGGACTTCTTACAGCACAACAACATCCAGACATTACCTTGGCCAGCCCGGTCACCAGATTTGTCCCCGATTGAGCATCTGTGGGACGAGTTGGATCGACGGAATCCACCGCCCCAAACACTTCCGGCGCTTCTTGATGCACTTCAGCATGAATGGCAGCACATCCAACAGCGTGTTATTGACAACTTGATTGCATCTATGGGTCGTCGGTGTCAAGCGGTGATTAATGCACGTGGTGGGCACAACGTATACTGACATTTTCTGTACCCCTGTGACATTAACTGTATCGTGTACATGTGTCTGTCTAGGTGACACGATTAATGTTTTGAACATTGTGTACATTGATCTTCAAACAGTGTTTCAATTATAGTTTGTGTGTCCTATTTTGAAACAATCGCATTATATTACATTTTGAAAGTCAGTGTCAAGTTTCTTTTTTTGAAGAGTATTATAGATAAAAGTCCCGAGTTCTGTCAGAAGCTGTTCGTAAGATTTATTATTGTAAATGTATTAGATTATAAATATAAACACGCTACCCTAAAGCCTTAATTTGGTTTTGTGAATATGTTCAACATATCTGTATTTCTAATCTGCAACAGTGAGTATGATTGTAAAAAAATATTGTTTCCATAGCATTCCATTTGATAGTGATTCATAAACACATGCTTGTGATATAATTGGAATCATTCTAATTTCTCTGCTCTCAGCAGAGATTTCTGATGATTATTTGAATGGTCGCATTTTTGGCACAGGGACAAGTGCCTACAGATGGCTCTATAGTATCAACACGTTGGAATGAATGCACCAGTCAGAGTTTGTGGATATCCTTTACATATTATTACCAGTGGGGGAGCATATGTTATTCAGAGTAAAATGAATCACGATTGGCAACGAATAACATTTTCTGTATCATTATCCGCGCCCACAATGGTCTCTTGTAAACAAAGTAATCAGACGTAATGGTAGTTGAAGATTGCGCTTAAAATGAATATGGCGAAAACATCGTTATGGAGTTAAAACCTCATTTTCAGATTTTTAGGGCAGAGTTGAATATTGAAAGCTTTCAATGGCGGGCGTTCCCTTCTGTAAATCAATTTGCTCTGATGAAAGATGATAAGATGAAACATGTACTAAGACAACTCCACGACGTAAATAATCACATTATGTAACTACAGGATTCTGATCTTGGTGTACTTGATAACACCATCAGATAGATGGCATTAGAGATATTAGTAACAGGCAACCGTGTATCCCATGCTTGACTCAAGAGGGTCAGGCCATGTGACTAAGTACGAATCGAGACAGGCCCAGAGAAACCAGAAACTGAAACCGAGAGAAACAATCCTGGACATCGGGATACGGTTACCCTCCTTTACAGTCAGTAAATGGAGTCGAGAGTGTTAGAAATATAAGAGATTTTCGGATCAGTAAACCCAACAATTGGCTCCGAACATAACCACAGGTGGTTCTGGGTTACACACAACCAAATGTTTTCCCATAGACTTCTATAGCAACGTTATATTTTTTTAGAAATAACTAAGCATTCAACAGCTATTACCTGTACGTGTGTGCACAGTTTGGCCTTAGAGCAGCAATAAAAACATAAAAAATGACTAACTTAGCCAGCTCCTTTTCCGAGTACAGGAAGCTAAACACACCACCCCCAGTTTCGCACCTTATGTCACCTACTTGAAAATAGCTGTGGTCACATTCAGCATAAGTCATCATGTTGAAGAAGACAGTACTAAATATAGAAAAACATGGTCAGTTTTAATAACTGGATGGATGTACATTTAAAAGACATAAACATCTTACAGAATATCCTCCAATCACAGCCTGCAGATATCTCTCGATCTGCACTGAAGGCTCCCTACGAAAACCGCACTGTCCCAACTGGTTCTGATTTGGTGTAGTAGAACCTCTGGGAATGATACAGGTATTGCCAAAATGAATTGTACGTGTTCCCAGTTATTTATGATGCAGCACATTTAGCCATGGGTAGTTTTGTGTCTCCGTTGCCTTAAATATCCTCTGGATGGAGTTATGAGCCCATGATTCGCCCCGGGTGTGATTCACGATCAATCAGTACTTGTACCTGTGCCAATGATCGCCAAAGGTTTCGCCAAAGTGGTAATCATCTACCATCTGCTTCCATCTCACATTAAGTCGTTCTGTCGTGATATAACTGAAACACTATCCAAAACAGTTCTACAAAAATCCAATCCTCTTATAACATTTAAAATCAATCGACCAAATTATTACATGCCAGATTAGAGATTGAGAAGTAATCGGTAATTCTCCTTCCACGGGCATCTTTAGAAATAAATAAAGAACGATTACAGAAGCACAAATTGCAATGCAAATGATCGACAGGTTCGTATTAATGAATTTTCAACGACGGGAAAATGAAACCATTATCATTATCATTGTTTCAGTGGCTGTAACAGTGGCCTTTATTCTGTGCTGGGCGCCTTTCCACTCACAGAGACTCATGGTCTTGTACGTCTCCACGTGGACTCCACTGTTGATGAAAGTGCAGAGTACTCTCTTCTATATCTCAGGTGAGCAGGCCATTAATCGTACACTACAAGAAAGACGATAATGTATCAATGATTTATCCCAATCCTCCTCCCCTCTATCGTTTTACTTGATCCCCTTAATTATCCCGCGTCTCTTTCCTTAGCCTCCATGATACGTGATGCCTGTGTGACCTTGTCGAACATCGTACAACAACTGTAAAAATGCCTCGTTGTCATACATCTACTATTTCCATGTTTCTATAGCTGGTAATACACAGGAATCGACTAGGGCTGTGACGGGTAACTCGGGTAGCCGGGTCCTTGTCAGTACCCACCCGACCCGGGTACCCGAGTTACCCGTCCCAGCCCTAGTCGATTCCTTGGTATTACCAGCTATAGCAAAATATAGGACTACCCGGACCCATGGTTAGTCACGTGACATATTGTTAAATGACAAAAGTTATCCAGAACTATATGGTTACACTACAAGTCACTAATGTTCGCATTTCTTTCTGACTATGCACCCATTCCTTCTGTTTTTTCATATGTTCGAATAAAGATATAACTTAATTCAACTTCAGTGTTTGAATAATCAGATTGTTTAATACATGTATCTAAATACGGTTCGCCAGGGCTATGCTATGCTGTTCCCATTCGGACATTTTGAGACATCTACTGAGACCTACAGTGGGTACCCGGGTAGGATCGGGTATTAGGGGGAAGGGTATCCGGGCAGTAAATTTGGACTCGTCCAAGCCCTAGAATCGACCATTTTGTATTCTGGGGACCTGGCAATTTTAGAACTGTATTTTCTTTGTTGGATGTCCTAAACATTGGTTTTGCAAAACAAAAAGTATAAGGCTCTTCTTTCACATAAATATTTTCTTTTGTTTTGAAGCAGAGATCGAAAACATATCCTGTCAATAAAATAAACCCTCATCGCAACCCCTTCAGAATATTAAATGTTGGTTTTCTGTTGGAATGATTGGCGTCACTGTGTCTACCTCAGTCTGATTGGAACAAAAATTAAACAAGGCTACAGCTGGAATTGTCTCGATTTTTCTGTTAATGCTTTTTTTCTTCCTATTATTCTTTTTCAAGATCATTTACACAGTCCTTCATACTATTAATAAAACGTACTCCTTGGCGTGTTGACATGAATATTATATTTCTAAAATATTGCGGTTATGAATGATGCCACTTGTGGGGCAGGATACACTCATCTTTAGGCGAACACCTGGTATCATCACTATTTTATAGTTATGATGTAGTCGGAATCTGCTTTTAGATTTTGTTTTTTTTCTCTAATATTATTTTAAGCAGAATATATTCTCTTTACTTGTTTTTCGGCATTCTGCTAACCAGGCGGATCAGTTGTTCTGGAAACATATGACGTCATCCATATTTGTCATGACGACAAAAGGTCACTTTATGGCTGTCATATTGCCGATGTTATGTTAATTTTGACTCGCTTGTGGGCCTATAGGCTAATTTAGAGAAAATTCTAACTCTAACACTATGTCCTTAATGTTAAAATACGGCGGCCATTTTTTTCAAATTAAAAATTCTGAGCATCAAATCCCAATACCACTACCAAGTCTGATACCATGTATTGTAAATCTCTTAACTATACCTCGTTCTTGTTTGCAGGTGTTCTGTACTTCGTGAGCTGTACCGTTAACCCCATTCTGTACAACGTCATCTCACGTCGTTACAGATGTGCATTCAAGGAGACAATCTGCTTCTGTTATTACAAACGTGGCACTTTCTCTTATACCAGCAGTGTTCTGAGAGGTAACTCCGATAAACCACTCAAACAACCAATGGCAGTTGTTAAAAGGGATTCTTTCGGCCACCACACTGCATTCCAAAACCGGAACTCACTGTCACATCCAGCGGTCAATGGACACGTTCCCGAAACCATTAAAACCAAACTGCTTGATGATACGTTTGATAGTAAAGCTGATCGCTTGTCAAGAATCAATGGCGTGAAAGATGTGAATACTTTCAAGACCTGTGACGATCATGAAAATGGTTATATGACATCGGAAGGGACAGCTTTTTTGACAAAGGGATTTTGTGCTCTGCAAAAGTCTTCATTTAATGATGTTTTGAAAGGAAATGGGTCTGTTATTTAGTGTTATCCAATTGTCTGATCTTTGCTTATCTTTCAAGAAATGTGCTCCCTTCTGAAGGCGCCTAGTGAGATATGGAAGCTTTAACATTCCAGATAATGGATACAAGGATACAAAACAGTATGGTTGTGCGTGACCCTTGCTTACAGTGTCCTTCAGAGAATACCCAGCCTGAGTGACCTTATCCACCTGACATAAGAACATGAATCCCCGCTGTTATATTAATGTGTGATATAAAGTGACCATGACTGGAATTGAGAATTCATTTTGTCAGATGTGCAGCCCTTCGATTACATGAGGAGAACGTGTTAGCGTGGTACAATACTAATTCATGGGAGACATCATTCAGTAACCCATTTCCTCCTTGTCCAGCTGTTAAATGTGGACGACGTGCTTGGTATGGCTCTACGCTTCGTATTAGCACATTGTGTAAACAAGTCTGTTCCTTTCTGTTGAAACCATTCACATAGGAATTGACCTATATCCGACATGAAATCTTTATAACAGTACACCTGCCTCATAACGGGGTATCGACTCCGAGGACATGGAGCAAAACACCTTTGTATTATTAAAATACACGCATATATCCTTGAATGATTCTCAGCTACCCGACCCTTCCCATTATTGAAATTCAAAATGTGGACAACCTCACCACATTGATTCCATAACGTCTAAACCGCCACTTAAAGTAACCACCCCTATAACATATCCTGGATTTTCCTGTCTGTCGTGCAATGCTATTTTATTTAAAACTGTTCGAACTCAATACCGCTTTGAAAAAACAAGCATTCATGATCATAAGCCATAGAGGGAATGTTATCTTCATCAAACCGTTATCGACGCGTGAAGATCCGCGGTAGAATAGCCACCTCCAGTCTTCAGCAACCTATGCTTGCCGTAAAAAGCGACTATCCTGGTCGTAAACGGGATCGGGTGGTCAGGCTCGCTGACTTGATTGATGCATGTAATCGATCCCAATTGTTTGCTCATTGCTCATGCTATTAATCATTGGATTGTCTGGTGCAGACTCGATTATTTACAGACCGCTGTCATATAGCTGAAATATTGCTGAGTGCGGCTTTAAACAACAAACCAACCAATGAAACCGTTATCTCTACATCCTGAGAAAAGTCTGCAAATTGTCACTGTAGATATACAGTAATATGTTAAGCATTGAAGCCTCTTATATGAACCTTATAACAATGACCCCCATATGGGTTCCGGAATGGAATTGGGCCCAGTAATGTGTTGGTTATCAGAGGCGAATCAGTAGGTCGTGGGGTCGGGCTCGGTGACCTTGTTGATTGTGTCACATCGTCCCCCCCCCCCCCCCCCCCAACAGTTTTATGGACAGTTGCTCATAAAATCCATCACTGGTTGTTTTGTCCAGACTCAAATATATACAGACCGCCATCATATGGTTAAGAGTGTGGATTTAAACAACAACAACAAAGTGTAACCATGTGCTGTCTCTGGATCATTGTACTTAACCATCACTGGTTGTTTTGTCCAGACACAAATATATACTCCTTATACTTGTTAACATACTTTGTTGATTTGTGTGATAAGATGTACAGTTTATGCCGATGTAAAGTATTGATTCCACTGATATTGTTTCATTTCTTTCTATTTCAATCTATTTACATCATCAACAATACGCCACTCAAAGTAACACCAAAACATTTCTTAATACTTATTCTTATCAGTTCTAGTAATATTCGCATATTGTTATGCATTTAGTGATGAGTAAGTGAGTGAGTACGGTTTTACGCCGCTTTTAGCAATACTCCAGTGATGAAATACTCGTTTTCATCTGCTTGTCAGCAACATACCCGTGCGCGTGGTAGAAATCTTTCGGTCTTGAAATCAAAAATACTATTCAAAACGGCCGTCAACACTGGTCTGTCATAGTACCCCGCTGGCATGGACCGTTGCTCATAACATCAGACACTGGTTTGTCTGGTCCAGACTCGATTTTTTAGAAGCAGCCGTCCTATAGCTGGAATATTGCTAACTGCGCTTTAAAAAACAAACAAACCAACAGAATACCGATATACTTTCTGTTCGACGATGCTCATGCTTTCACTGGCTAGTTTGCTTTATTCAGATTCGATTACTTACCTACCGCCGTATATTAGCTGGAATAATGCTGGCCGGGCATTATACTACATTAACTCACTCAGTTATAAAAGGGAACCATCGTTACCTGTATATAACCGAAGTAGGTGCATATTTGGTATGAAGAAGCGAAAGTTTGTTTCACTTGATCTTAATATTGTCATGATTTATGCTTCATGTGGGACATGGAGACTAAATGGTAGGGATTATCTGCATAATTGTCCATTATGACACGGTGTAATTGATAATTGATAACACACTCCCCCAAGAAGATGATGACAATATCTTTTAATTACGGCGTTGTCTGTGGTTAGACTAGCTAACCATATAATATTAGCTAATGTGACCATTCGTCGGTTCGTAGTCAATATAATTTGTCAAGGTATCACAGTTGGCTAACACTATTAAACGGGCATACTCCGGACCAGTGCGAGCAGTCACACAACTCCGCATCTTCAACGTGACGACGTTAAACTCCATTTCGGTGTCTAAAAGGGGTAGTTGAGGACTTTCACAAGTGTAGGCAACTTTGGCCTTACAAACTGCGGAGAAATGTATCGAGGAAGGGTCAGGGTACCAGTTCCCATACATGTTTTATACACCTCTGCGGCTTGTGGTCTTTTCACGAAATAACCAAATTGATTTTGCGAAGCCATGTCCGAAATTGTACCTTTTTTCAATTTGTCTTATAGTGGGTTATCTGAATGCTATCCGTAATACCTCAGAAAACGATATGACAGACCCTAAATGCTCTGAACTAACGTGACGTTTCATAGACTAGAGTAGCTCCCCTTTGATTAAAGAGCAATTACTCCAGCGGGTGGAGCGATGGTTTGCCGAGAAATAAAAGGTTAAAAATGAACTTTTGGTAATTGCCTTTTGCCGAAATGGTCGTTACGCCACTGTGACTTAAAAAACAAGTTTCACCTGGAACTGTCACTGTCCGACTGCCTGATCACTGATATTGTGACGTAATATATTAATGCGACCATTCCAGGAAAACGATGCAATGTTAAGATGCAATGTACAGTTAATGTGAAATGAAAAGACTTATTTTGATGCCTTAATAAATGGCATCATATTATAAAGAGGTTATCACGATTGTGTGTTTTGAGATGGTAGGTATATGTATTAGGAATAAACTCTGTGTATTTAGCTCGCCGAGGCCAAAACACACAAACGTTATAATTTTGATTTACTTCCACGTTTAGGAATGAATAAAGAAAAAATAGGAGTTACAATAAATAAAACGACAAAACACTTTCTATATTCATAAGAAATCTCTGCCCAAAACAGTCAGTTGTACGCTTTTGACTTTATCACGAGCATGTGTATATAAATCACTATCAAATGGTGATGACTGCAGGTGTTCGCGAAAAGGTGAGCGTATCCTGGCCCGGGTGGCACCCGTCACAAACACATGCAAAGGCAGGTTAGGTGTCCACCTGGAAACACTTGGAAAATAGAGAATTGCGTCGGACATTATGTTTGTCACTGATGCGACAAACTCGGAAATGTCCTCCAGATGTCTACCATACAACTGTTTGAAAGCTTTACTGAGGGGCTGAGTATTGTAACTCTGATAAACTTTTGAGAATAAGTCGTATGACGGCAAATATAGGTAATGGTAAACGTTGATATCACAGACAAGCGGCAATATATTTCCTGTACTATATAACCTGACGAGTCAGTCACCTAGAACCTCTGGCCAGGTTAAATAACTCTTGTGGTAAGAGCTAAGCTACCGATTACTGGCTGTCTTCATCTATTACAGGTCTGGTCAGGGGGCAAAACACATTGACAGTAGGGAAATCCTCCCATTAGCACTAATGATGCTACTGTTAGAAGATAACTGTGCTTCTATAAAGGGAATGATGTTGTTTGGCTAGCGAATGCCGACCTATGGCCACCAAAAGTAATTATCATGAGCGATTTACTTCCCTAATCGAAATCTATACAAAGCCAATTTGGGGTGACACAAATAAATTGTTGTCTTGGATCTGGTTTACCTACATGTCTATGGTGTTTTGTAACAGTTTTAATAAATCTACGATGAGTAGACCGATGGAGAATACTAAGTTTGTATTCCCAGTACGGAATAGCGTAGTTATGATCAATACACGACATATTTCTTATGGAATGAAAAAACAAAACAACAGAGGATGGGTATGGCATACACTGGTTGAATATTTGTGGATATTTGAATATTTTTTTAAAGTCTCGATTGATATTTAATATGAAAAATGTATCTTGAAATAAAAATGTGAAACACATTGGAAACAATTTGAGGAGTTTTACATAAACAAGAGACCATGCGGGTTGTTTTCATGGGAAATTTTCAAATGGACAATGGATTTTTAAGGGTACAAGAAATGAACATTTTCTATGCTGGTTTAGACAAAAATATAATTTCATTTCAACCATCGAGAGATTCATGACCAGAATATGAACACAAAATTGTTCTCTTGTATTTAATGATCTTTCAACACAGAACACAGCACAGATAAACTATCCATGCAACACCAGGGAGTGTTACTGCAAGACGAAAAGTTTGAAATCATATATGAAACTGTTTTTTTTATAAGTTAAATTGAAATGGGATGTCCCGATCCTTCATCCAGACACTAATGTTTCATTTCAATCAAGAAGTGATTTGCAATCCTTCAGATAACCTTTACAACGCGTGTATTTGGCTTGTTTGGTTAGACCATGATAAATGATACTAGGAAACTGACAGTAGGTTAATTTGATGGCATGATTTGTTAGGTGAAGGGACCTCCATTCATGGGTGATAACAACACTGTTTGTCAGGAATGGTTAACGAGAGAGGTATGGCTGGTTTTCTGCTAAGTGAGTAGGATCGCGTCAACTGGTTCAAGAGACTGAGCGTCTTCTTATAACGGGTTCTTGCATGAATTGAACGGAGGCATAATTGTAGGAAAAGATATGTGAAAATGATAATACTGAAACGTGAGTTATCGAGCCGTTGGAATAAAAGTTCGGCAATTGTTACTACATCAATGAAACCTATAAAATATACTTTCAGGATTAATGGATTCCAAAATTGAAACATTTTTTGTATGAAGTATCGACAAAAAGAGTAGCATATAAAGGGATAAAATGAGAACATAACTATACTACTCAATTTCTGATAGGGATACTGAGCTACTTCAAACTTCATCTACATGTTATGAGTAATGACATAATGAATGGGGGAATCAGGAAAATAATTAAATAATTGCCTATAAAAAGTTGAGTAGTACATTAAGACAATTCACGAAACAACGTTAACCTTCCCGAATTACTGAATGGAACTGATTGATGTTTCCAAATGTAAACGGTCGGAAAATGATTGTTTCCGGCCTGATGGCACGTCACTGTATATACTAGACGTACCAATTAATAGTATAAGACACTCACTCTTAGAACCATGAGTGAGTGAGGTTTGTTTAACATCACTATGAACAGTATTGCAACCACGAGTGAGTGAGTGGGTTTTGTTTAAAGTCACTATGAACAATATTGCAACCACGAGTGAATGAGTGGGTTTGGTTTAAAGTCACTATGAACATTATTGCAACCACGAGTGAGTGAGTGGATTTTGTTTAAAGTCACTATGAACAGTATTGCAACCACGAGTGAGTGAGTGGGTTTTGTTTAAAGTCACTATGAACAGTATTGCAACCACGAGTGAGTGAGTTTGTTTGGTTTTAAGTCACTATGAACAGTACTGCAATACACACAAGGAGTTGACACACTTTCCTTGAGAACGGCAACTGAAAAAGCTAAGACATGTTCAAACTGTTGACAACAAGATTCACTATTAACATTACCGTGGGAGTTGGAACTGGACTTTTTCGTGCTTGTATTGTCATTGTGTAGAACTCCTTGGAACTGGTTCTACCCAGGTCTTCATGTGGGCAATAAAGTTGTCAACTTGGAACTTTGCTTCGTCGGCAACGTGTTTATGGATGATCATACCGCTATGGGTGTTGGATGTTGCATGAGACACGTCTTAATATATCGTCCCCAGTAGACGCTATTGTCTTTTCTGAATTCATAACCACCATATACTAAGTCCTCTCCGCATTAACCATTAGGGTTGTATCGTAAAGCTACTATTGCGTGAACATAGCGAGTTTACACAAATTTAAACGAGTGAACACAATTCATGTTGTCCCTAGTGATGAGAACATTTCCTTTACGACCATTGTCGTGTCTAACAGCCGGAGAGTTACATAGTTTACACACTCGTTCCACTCTCGGAATGTTGAACCAGCGGCCGGTTTCAATGGGCAAGTTATGGTTATCAGTTCTAAATTTCAGAATAGGGTAGCATACATTTTTGGATAATAAGAAATAATTTTCAAAAGACCAAGTGTCTTCAAATAATTGTTTGTAGTACAAATCCTTTGAACGTTCCATAACAGAGCTGCGCCAGTTTTGCATTAAAATATTCCCTCTACCTTCGAAGCCAATGTGTAGAACATATATATGAGGTTCTCTTCCAAATTAAACGTAGACCATGGAATTTCATTTAACGAAGAGCAGAGACAATTTTCAGAATTTTTTATGTACTGTTTTAATAATATTTGTATTTGCAAAGCCTCAAATTCCATCTTTTCAGATACTGATCTTAAAATATGTCCTCTACCTTCGAAGCCAGCAATTGTGTGACACATATATATGGATTATCAAACAATTCAGTTAATCCACAATTCTCCAGTAAAGTCCATGGACGTTTATCAGTAGTATGGGTTCAATTGCAAGTTAGAGTGAGAAACTGGAGCAAAATATTTGTTAATTTGGCGATTACCGTATTTGTTGCAAGTTTATTCCAAAATATAATAACGCATTTTAATATTTTGATATACAGCGGTTCTCTTCCAAATTTTCAGAACTTTTAAATGTACTCTTCTTATTACATTAGTATTTTCAAAGCCTCAAATTCCGAACCGTACATTACAATCGGGTCAATCATTTTATCAAATACAAGAAGACAATGACATAATCGTCTTGCTTCAGTTTATATTGTAATATATAATAACCTTGACAGATTCTTCATAATCATACATGTCTTGTGATTAAACTACATAGAAACAGGCGACTCACAATAGCAATAAGAAGTGGAAAATGAAACAGAAGTTATGTTTGCATTATTAAAGAAAGAACAGCATGTTACCTTGACCTCTTGATTGTATATGTGTTCCTTTTACTCTTAATTCATACATGGGTGTCCTTGTTTGAGGTGAATGGACTAGGGGTCATTAATGAAAAGGAAGAATAGTAATGGAGAGAGATGTTCACCTTGTCGTTCACCAACGCCACATGGAAAATAAGATGATATTCAATATTGTTAAGCATGGCAGTAGGTGTAATGTTGTGGTACATATTTGTAACAAAAGTAAGAACATTTCCATTCAAACCACATTTAATCATGTTGTACCATGGGAAGTCAACGAAGACACAGTATATTGTTGGGGGATAATTTCAGAATTTTATACTTACACACCTTCAAAACTATTCCTAAACGTCAAAGAGTGAATGTTGTTTTGAAATATTATATCACATATATCAC